CACACACACACACACACACATACACACACAGACAACCTCTCGTCAATATGCGTTTTCCGCACTGCACAGCTGCAAAAAACGCATAAAAAGCAGTTGAACGTAAGAAGGGAAACCTTAATGGAATCATAACAAGCAGTAACACGACCATTCTGTACATCAACATGCGGAGGCGGATGAGCAAATTTACATTCGACGTCCGATCTCGAGCACTGACCTCTTTGAAATTCTCGGCAAACCTATAATTTTCCACCACATGCGTTACATTTTTCTGAAATTCTTATTAAAGTTTTCTTTTTTAACAAGAAATTCCGGCCGAACGATAACAAAACGCGGTGTGGGATTGGCATCTTTGGTCATTGTGCTAGCGTTTTTCCCTTTTCCAATTTTTGCTTGGCTATGCAAAAATGTTGGGTTGATTTCGCACATTTTCGTCACTCCCATACACGCTAACCTTAATTTTGATCCTACAATTATCACAGAAACTGCAAGAATCTGAGTGTAGAGGGCAAAAATATTCCTAATTGTGCATTTTGTGCTGTATAACAGCAGTACAAAACGCATATTGTCACAGGGTTGTCTGTGTGTGTCCCACATTTTGTCCCGCACTTCCAACTCGGGAACCACAAAAGTTAGGCGGCTGAAATTTTAGTATAGTGTTCCCCGCCAACGGGTGATGCAGCAAATCTAAATTCAATCTTCCCGTTCCCACGGGTAACACGTACGGTCCCGTAAAAGTTTTTCGGGTAAAATCGGTATCTCAGGAACCACGAAAGCTAGAAGGCTAAAATTTTGTGGGCACGTCCATCGCCAATACGCTGCCCAAAAAATTTAAATTCAGCTTTCCCCTGTCCGCGAGTAACATGTACGGCTCCGCGAAAATTTTTGGTAAATTATTATCTCGGGAACCATGGAGTCTAGAAAGCTGAAATTTTGGGGTTGTGACCCACTGCTCACGAACGATTTTGCAGTTTCAAATTCAGCATTCCAGCACGCTCGGGTACCACCTACAGGCCAGTGAAAATTTTTTATTATCTCGGGAACCACAAAGTCTACTGAGCTGGAATTTTACAGTAATGACCTTTGCCCACGTGCGACCATACACATTCAGATTCAGCTTTCCCGTGCTTTCGGGTATCACTTACGGCCTCGTGAAAATTTTGGCGGGTAAACTATCCCAGGAATCACGGAAGGGCATTCACTCTTGAAGGTTTCAAACTCAGCTTTCTTGTGTCGATGCGTGAAATTTTTAAATATTTTTCAACTTTCCAACTATTTTTGCACAGATCAAAGTACAAAGCAGTGAAAATCATTAATAGGCAATCGTTCGGTGAACGGAATTGCACAAAACGCACGATCGCACCGGCTAGTGTGGTGCGCGTTGCCATTTATTACTAATGTTACTATATTACTATCCTGCTTTATTATTATTATTATTAATGCAATTATTATGATTTTACCCATTATTACTGTCACTACTATTATTACCATTATTATTATTACTATTATTATTGCTACTATTATTACTATTGTTATTACTATTATTATCATTATTATTATTATTATTATTATTATTATTATTATTCTACCCTTATTTCTATCTTTATCAACATCCTAGTTTCACCACTGCAGCTGGGACGAACGCAACGGTGCCATCTCTGCATTCGCAACGAGTCCTACAGTGCCACTGTTTCAGTCGAGAGGAATTCAACGATGCAGAAGTTATAATCCACAAGAATGCTATAGCGATGTCACTGCTTCAGTGGGACCAACAAAACGATGTTGCCATTTCAGTGAAAACGGGAATGCAACGGAGCGATCGCTTCAGTGAGCAAGAAAAAATCAACAATATCGCCACAGTAGTCCAGACAAATCCATGAAGCGAGTGCTCCGTCTGAGACGAATCGACCATTCGGCTCCAGTATTGCGTGCATACATGCCATTAGAAAACTGTGGTGATAGCAGAATTCTGGTGAGGGGAAAATGCACGCGAATTTAACACATGGATGATGATGACAGATCGACGAATCTTGTTCGGAATGTGGACCATCATGGAACCTCAGTGACTGCTGCATACCTCAAACGGTTCTCAGCACAACAGAGGTATTATGATGTATATAAAATAAAACATTCTGTTAAAAAACTGGGAAAAAAGGAATGTTTCACTCCATTAAACAGTAGATATTCCTATTCAGTACCACAACTGGACCTTGTTAATACGACGATTGTGTAAAAATAAACTAATAAAATGAAATATCTATTAAAAAAATGCGTTGCAATTTCAAAAAGTAGCCCAGGCTGGAACGCACCAGGCTTGCCGGTACTCATGCGTTTTTGCGCTAAACTTGCAGATCGATACAACAGGAATGATTCCTGTGCTGTAGACTAACAGTTGAGTTTATCGGTTGCGTTTTGGCCTTTTCCGGCATGCAGTGAGAAAGGGCGCTGGGTGGGAAGCAGGTGTTGCATTATAGGGCCGCATGATGTCAAGGCGCATCGCCATGTTTTTTGCATGAGGCCCGGTTGTTTCTCCGGTGAACAGTCGTTCATTGGAAATATGCAAATTTGAAGGAAGTCCGAAGAGGATTAAACCTGCAAAACGCACTCGCTTTGGAGTTTTCGATAAAATTGAGTATTCTCCCTGTCTCCGCACGCGGACTTTTACTTTCAAGCTGAATTAAGACTATACGTGAATACAGAATATCCTTGCAAAGTTTCAGCTTCGCAGCTTGCCTGGTAAGCGAAATAGCCACTTCGTTACAAATATTTCTAAAGTATTCTGAGTCGTGGCGCAGGTGCAAATCAGAACTCAAATTAGGTGGACTATTTCCCATTTGAATAATAAATACTCTGAAAAAATTTCAACTATTGTTTTCCAGCTAGTTTTCGAGTTAGCACAGTGCCAAATGCAAACCTTGACGCGACCGTACGCGCGATAGCTGAATTCAAAATCTTTAGCTCGCACATGCATAGAGAATATCCCTGCAAAGTTTCAACTTCCTATCT